CGGCCACCCTCCTTCCCGGGCTGCGCTGGTCTCTCACCACCCTGGCCTGGTGCTTCGCGCCAGCTTTGCTGGTCAGTACCGGCCCGGTGCAGCAAGGGCTGGGTTGTCAGGTCACCGTGCATCGGGGTCGGTTCCCACCGTGGTCCTCGGTCCAGGGATGGCTCTGGCAAGAGGTGACCGACCCCTCCGAGGAGACACTGAGGCCCCGATGGGGACTCCTGAGCTGTGCGGAATCAGGAGGGTTGTGTGGGACTGGTTTCAATCCTGGGATGGTTCCAGAGCCATCTGCTTCCAGGAGTGTCCTCACCGGGGTGGGGAAGCTCCCCAGAATGATAGGAGAGGGCCGTGAGGAGGTCTGTGGGAGGCTTGGGTGCTGGGGAACGGCTCCCAGCCCTGCAGAGTGATGCTGACCCACCCCCCCTTCAAGGAACTGGTGGGTTGGATCTGCCCCTCGCTCAGCAGTGGGTGCCCTGAAATTCGGGAGGGTTTTGCTGAGGGTCCACGTTGATGACTTCCTTAAAGGGAACAGATGTTTTGTTCTCTAAGGCTTCTGGATATTTTTCCAGCCTCACCAAAGCTGCTTGGAATTGTTTCATCCTTGCTATTAGCATCTGCTGGCATCCCTCCTGTCAGCACTGGGGGAGGATAACCCAGATTTTCCCGCATCTATGCAAAATGAGTGAGCTCTGAGAGCTCTCTGTTCCCATGTAACCTACCCCCCTCCCTGAGATCAAACACACCCCATCTCCTGCTTTATTTTTTTGCTTTTTGGGGCTCCTGGAGTGTTTTAGAGGTGGTGCAGTGGCAGGGACTGCCCGACAGCAAAGCGCAGCATGGCTCAATGCAGCGGAGCTGGGATGGAGGTGCAGGAGGTGGGTAGGAGTTGCCTTGGTAACGTTTATGCTGCTGCGGGTACATTTTTGGTCTCTTAAACAGAAGATACAGTCCTGGATCCACGGGAGGATGAGGTTAATTGTGAATGTCTTGGGAAATTTTGGTTTTCCTGAAAAATGCTGTAATTTAACTGGATTCTTCGTCTGCTTTCAGGGTTATTCAGAGTCCCCAGACCTGGAGTTTGAATATGCAGATACTGACAAATGGGCAGCAGAGCTCTCTGGTAAGGGACTTGTCCTGATGGATCAATTAATCAGCCACAATTTTCTTTCCTGGTAGTGTTCAGAGGAGCTTTTCCAACTCTGGTATTACTCTGTTGTTGTCTTTAAACACCTCATTCATGTTAAAAGAGAAGTGGCATTGTGTAATTAATTTTTTAAGCCTTATGTTGGCTGTATTTTTTGCGTTTCCCTCATCTTGGATAAAACTGCAGTTAACGTGGCCGGATTTCTCTGGTGGCTCGGTACAAGTTTTCGGAGATTTTCCTCTGTGTTCTTTCGGCAGAGCTGTACAGCTACACGGAAGGGCCAGAGTTCCTGCTCAACCGCAAGTGCTTTGAGGAAGACTTCAGGATCCACGGTAAGACCCTTCCCTTGGACCTCTTGCCCCTCTGGGGAGGGACGGAGATCTCCCAAAGGAGACGCAGGGATTGATGCTGCGTCAGAAAGTCGAGCCGTGCACCGATAATCTTCACGTGGTTTGTGCTGGAGATCTCGTTAGCGTGCATGGGCTGGCCCTGGAGCACAGCTCGTTGCCTCCAGTGTGTTCAGTGGTTGCTGAGGTTGATGTCGAAGGTTGTTCATCAGCACCAGGATGGCTGTGCTGGAACATACCAGCAGCAGCAAGAGCATCCAGCTCATTTGCCATCAGGTGCCAGTGCTGGTTCAGATGGATGTGATTCGTCTAGTCGTCTGATGGAAGGCAGGAGATGGTCCCTCCGGGCCGATGATGCATGCCTGGGTGTTTTTCCTGGGACCACAGTGTTCCGTGGGGCAGCTCTGTTTTCTGTCACGCTGAATCCTTTTGAGCTTTTCCTGGGATGTTTGTGCCCCATGCCCTCAGCCTACCTGCTTTGGCTTTTCAGTGCGGGACAAGAAATGGACCGAGCTGGACAAAAACCAGCACCGTACCCACGCCATGCGCCTTCTTGATGGGCTGGAGGTCACCGCACGGGAGAAGAGGCTGAAGGTTGCCCGAGCTATCCTTTACGTTGCCCAAGGTGATGCCAGGCTTCTGTCCCTTTAGTTTCCCCATTGTTAAATCCAGGTAATGGATTGGAGGCTATCAGTTCACAATATTTAAAATCATTTTCTTTCTTTTCCATTTTTGATTTCACCTGGGATGTCTAGAATGACACTAATTCTCATGGGAGCAAGATGGTTTCTAGGAGTTTGGTCCAAAATTTGGCCAACTTTCCCTGTGCTATCCCAGCTCTGCCTGACCTGGGCTGCATTACCCACAGGAGGGCAGTTCTGTCCTCTGCATCTGACATTTTTGCTTTGAAACTAAGGCTGTGTTTTTCATTCCCCCGCTGCAAAGTGCTCTGGCGGTGTGGGAGGGCCCCGAGTTTCCTGCAGAGATGGGATCCAGCGAGGGTATCATTGCAGGCACCTTTGGGGAATGTGGTTCCGAGGCTGAGGTGCAGGCTTGGATGAGGTATAACATCTTCCTCTTGCTGGAAGTGGGAACGTTCAACGCTTTGGTGGAGCTGCTGAACATGGAGATTGAGTGAGTACTGGACGAAGACTCTTCAGAAAAGGCTCTGGAGCAACTTGGCAGGAATTTTTCCAGTTTGTGGCAGTCCCATTCCTGGTCTGTCTATCCCTAATCTGATTCGTGCAGCCACTGGAATGACTCTCATTGTTCTGGGTAGATATATAATGTAGGATTATACCTGATTTATACAGAAATTCACTATGAGCTGTGCTGCCTGGCAGCAAATAGTGATGGGTCTGTTCCTCCTCTGTCCTCGATTGCACTGTGAACAGGGGACTCATTGCAGCAATATCTAATTCCGGGGTTTGGCTCTGGTGTGTGTTGCTCGTGGCAGAGTTAAAACGTCTCCAAAGGCCCCTCTGAGGCTGTTTTCCCTCCACAGTAACAGCGCAGCATGCAGCAGCGCCGTGAGAAAGCCGGCCATCTCCCTGGCTGACAGCACGGACCTGAGGTACAGAGCAGGGCTTGGGAGAAGGGGGTGCTCTGGGGATGAGGAGGGGGACCCTGTGTTTGCTGGGTTCTTTGGCAAGCTGAGACAGGCCAGCAGACATCTGAGGGTGTCCCAGAGCTGTCCCAGCTTCTGCCCTGGCTACGTGAGCATCGTCAGGTACGCTCAGGTCTGCTCAGCTGGTAAATGTCCCCTGTGCTCAGCCTGCACAGCAGGCCTGTGGCTGGTGCGGGACGTGAAAGGAGGAAAGTATTGGAAAGCAATTTTTTTCCCCCCTGCTTTGACTTGCAGAGACTTTGGGGTTTTTTCCCCAGTGCCTGAGCACTGATCCCATGGTGTGAGTGGGTGTGTGGAAGCTGGCTGTGGCCTGGTGGTGGCTCCGTAACTCATCCCAAACTCTGGCGATTTGCCTGACCTGCTTATTTTTTGCAGGGTGCTGCTCAACATCATGTATCTGATCGTGGAGACTGTTCGTCAGGAAGCTGAGGGGGACAAACCCGAGTGGAAGAGCACGAGACAGACCTTCCGAGCAGAGCTGGGTGAGGACCAGGTGCTTGGGGGCTGATGGGATGGGGGTTTCTAGGGCTGAAGAGTGAGAGAGTGAGATGGGTTTTGGCTGTAGGCTTCAGTTAATAGGGACTAGCAGTGCTGGGTTGGTTTCTACTAGGCTGAACCTTGCTGGTGGGGCAAAGGGGGATGAGCAGATGAAGCCAGCCAACCTTTTGTGCTGTCTGGGTTCTCTCCCTGGGGAAAAAAGATTGCATATTGGGGCTGTCATTTCCTCGCAACACAGAGGTGAGAAATTGTGGAGGGTACAGGGCCTTGGAAAGGAAGAGAGGACCTGTCTGGGGGTGAGATGAGGCTCTCGGAGATGAGGGGTGCCAGACTGCAGAGGCTGTGGGAGGGCGAAGGCTGGTGGTCCTTGGGGTGAGGACAGCGACAAGGAATGCCTGGCTATCGCTGCCATGTGGTTCCAGGAGCCCCCCTGTACAACAACGAGCCCTTCTCCGTCATGCTGTTTGGGATGGTGACCAAATTCTGCAGCGGCCATGCTCCTCACTTCCCCATGAAGAAGGTGCTGCTCTTGCTGTGGAAGACTGTGCTGGTAAGGAGAGGCCGTGGGGTGTGCTGGCACGTCTTGTGGTTTTTGTTCGGCAGAGGAAGGAAGTTCTGCCCTCGGAGCTGGCTGTAATCGCTCCATCCTCTTTTTCTGGCATTCAGTCGCGTAGTTTGCACCCTACTGAACCCACCTCTGGGTTTCACCCCATAGGGGAGCGTTGGATAGTGTGTCTGGGGTCTGCATGTGGTGTGGTCTCCCTTGCAGTGCACCCTGGGGGGCTTTGAGGAGCTCCAGAGCATGAAGGCAGAGAAGCGGGAGATTCTGGGCCTCCCGCCGCTCCCAGAGGACAGCATTAAAGTGATCCGCAACATGCGAGCTGCCTCCCCGCCCGCGTCTGCCTCCGATCTGATCGAGCAGCAGCAGAAGCGAGGCCGGCGGGAGCACAAGGTGAGGGGACAGCTGGGGTCTGGGCGCTGACCTTGGGGCAGCTAGTCCCCAGGGTATTCACCTGCCTGCTCTTCTTCTCTCTCCAGGCCCTGATTAAGCAGGATAACCTCGATGCCTTCAACGAGCGGGACCCTTACAAAGCTGATGACTCCCGTGAGGAAGAGGAGGAAAACGATGATGATAACAGCCTGGAGGGAGAGACCTTCCCCCTCGAAAGGGATGAAGTGATGCCTCCACCCACTCAGCATCCCCCCAGCGACCGCATCACCTGCCCCAAGGGGCTCCCCTGGGCCCCCAAGGTCCGGTGAGTTGATGGGGCTGACTTTGGGCCAGGCTGTGGGGAGAGCTGGTGCGGGTTAAGGAAAACAGGGGCTGTTAAATACTGAGAACTTCAGCAGGGATGTGGGGAAGGTGTTGGGGATGGGCGGTCAATCTGATGGTCACTTTGGTGGTTGTTTTTTTTGGTGGGGTGCGCTCCGCACCATCTCCTTTATCTGACTGTGAGGCTTTTCCTGACACCCTGTGCCTGGGGCTATGGTGTACCCAGGCAGACAGGAAGATGTGACACTTTCCCTTGTCCGTTTGCTGCAGAGAAAAGGACATTGAGATGTTTCTGGAGTCCAGCCGCAGCAAATTCATCGGCTACACGCTGGGCAGGTGGGTTCTCACAGAGCCAGTCTGGGGGGCTACTGATTTGACGGGGATTGCGGCAGAGGCTTCTGCCATTGCCCTCCGCTTGGCCGTAGAGAATGCTGTAGAGCTCACTGGCTCCTTCTCGGGGTGGTGGTCTCTGACCTGCCTGGGGGTGGCTTAGGTTTGCTCCTGCCTGCACCCAGCCTGGCTCTTCCCTTCTCTCTAGTGACACCAACACCGTGGTGGGCTTGCCCAGGCCCATCCACGAGAGCATCCGAACCCTGAAGCTGGTGAGTACATTGACAAATTCCTCCAGCCCCTCCCATTGTGTGGGTGCCCCTTCCCCATGCCCCTGCACCGACCAAAGCTCGGGACCAGTGGTGTTTTGCTGACCCCTCTTCCCACTTGCTCAGTCTTGTGGCAAGAGAGGTCTCAAGTTTTTATCCTGTCCCTCACCTCCCAGGCTGGCTGAGCCCCTTTCCTTACTGGCTTCATCCCTTTCTTAATGGGGTTGTCCCCTGAGGCCAGCAGCCGCCACCGTGCCCATCAGCATGGGTCACCACTGGGACAGGAGTAACAGAGGCCCCTGGAGGGACTTAAAAAGTTGATGGGACCAGGCTGGGGCTGGTGGCATCAATAGGGGGGTCGATGTGAACCCCTGCTCTCTTCCTCTGCAGCACAAGTACACATCGATCGCAGAGGTGCAAGTGCACATGGAGGACGAGTACCTGCGCTCTCCGCTCTCTGGGGTGAGTGTGGGGATGAGGATGGGATGAAGCTCATGGGCTGGGGGCACTCAGTTCTGCCGGGCCTTTTGGCAGGGCTGGGGGGGTTGTTCTGCTGGGAAGGGAGGAGCGATTTCTCTGGGGCAGAGGGTGGGGTGTGTGTGGAGGCTTCGGGCGGGAGCCAGGGGTATCCTGCCCTTGGGGTCGGGGAGCCTGGGATCAGCTCCTGGCGTGAGGATTTCTGCTCTCTCCTGGCACCAGGGGGAAGAAGAAGTGGAGCAAGTCCCTGCGGAGATCCTGTACCAGGGCCTCCTACCAAGCCTGCCGCAGTACATGGTGAGCTGGGCAGCACTGGGGGTCCCCTGCACCGTCCCTTTCCAGCAATGCCCCCCAGGTTTTCTTCCCACATACGCCTCCCTGTTACTCCCTCCTGCAGTGGGGAGTGGGGCCTGTGGCTGGTCCTCCCTTTCCCATCCCCTTTTCCATCTCTCCCTTCTCCCCAGATCGCTCTGCTGAAGATCCTCCTCGCTGCAGCCCCCACTTCCAAAGCCAAGACGGACTCCATCAACATTCTGGCGGACGTCTTGCCGGAGGAGATGCCGTGAGTGACTGTGGAGGGCGAGTGGAGCGGGGCGGTGGTGGGAAGGGAAGAAGAGGGGGACAGGAGGGTGCCAGACAGGGTAGTGTAATTTGGGCTGGAGCTGTGCTTGAGGCCTCCTGGGTGATCTGACCGCCTTCTGCTTGGTGGTGTGCCAGGAATTGTGCGTTGCTGCAGGAGCTGGCTGCTGAGAGCCCAGGGGACCGCAGGGCTGTCCGCCGACACCTCCGGGGCTGGCAGGGTACGGACAGTGCCCCAGCCCAAGGATCCCTCTGTGTCCCCCAGGACCACAGTGCTCCAGAGCATGAAGCTGGGAGTGGATGTCAATCGGCACAAGGAAATCATCGTTAAAGCCATTTCTGCAGTGCTGCTCCTCCTGCTCAAGCACTTCAAGCTGAATCACATCTACCAGGTGAGGCGGGCCAGGGTCTGGGCACCCCGCACAGGGCTGTCGGGTGGGCAGGACCCAGGGAGGTCCCGTTCACCCGCCTTTCTCCCCAGTTTGAGTACATGGCCCAGCATCTGGTCTTTGCCAACTGCATCCCGCTCATCCTGAAGTTCTTCAACCAGAACATCATGTCCTACATCACTGCCAAGAACAGGTAGTGGAGAGGAGTGCCTGCCCGCATCCCTGCTGGGTGTGGGGGGAGGGTCCCTGCTTGCTTTGCCCCTCTGTGATCCCTCCCCAGCCATGGCTCTGGCACAGGCAGACCTTGGGAAGTGCGTGCTGCAGCTGATCGGTGGGTGGGAGGCGTGGGGCTGCATCAGGCCCAGGCCAGGTAGGATCTTTGGGACCAGCACGGTACCCCCTCTCCTTCCTGCAGCATTTCCGTCCTGGACTACCCATACTGCGTGGTGCATGAGCTGCCGGAGCTGACGGCAGAGAGCCTGGTGAGTCACTCCCTTCTCTGCCAGGTCCTGGCACCCTGGGGTGCTTCCTAGCGGAAATTGTGGGTGTGGGGAGGCAGCAGGGCTCCAGCACCCAGCCCTGGCACCCTCAGCACTCCTGCACTTGGCCCCTGGTGCTGCTGGGGCTCCGGGGAGGGTGTGGGGCTGGCAGACTCCTGCCTGCATGCTGTGCTGTGTACCCCTTTGGGCAAGGGTCCGGAACAGCCTCTCCTCGCCCCTGCTCCAATCTCTTGCCTCACCCCTGCCTCGGTGTTCCTGCAGGAAGCTGGAGACAACAACCAGTTTTGCTGGAGAAACCTCTTCTCCTGCATAAACCTCCTGCGCATCCTGAACAAGCTGACCAAGTGGAAGCACTCCCGCACCATGGTGAGGGCCGGGAACATGCTGGAGCTCAGCCCAGCCCAACTGGGGTGTCGCAGGGTGCCTGGACTGGGAGAGAGGGCTGTGGATACCTTGGGGTGCCGCACCCCAGCCCTCATTGGGGAGCAGGACGCAAGGGAGGGTGGGTTTTGTGCATGCTGCAGGGAAGGCTTTGTGTGTGCTGGAGGAGAGGGGGTTGGCATGTGTGTGACAGGAGGTGCCCACGGACCCATCCCAGAGGTGTCACCCCTCTGTCCCCGGCTGCCGGCGGGGCTGTTCCCTGCAGATGCTGGTGGTGTTCAAGTCAGCACCCATCCTGAAGCGGGCGCTGAAGGTGAAGCAGGCCATGATGCAGCTCTACGTGCTGAAGCTGCTCAAGGTACAGACCAAGTACCTGGGCCGGCAGTGGAGGAAGAGCAACATGAAGACCATGTCAGCCATCTACCAGAAAGTGCGGCACCGTCTCAATGACGACTGGGCTTATGGCAACGGTATGTCCTTCACAGCGGCTGCAGAGCGTCCTGTTACCTGCTGTCCTTCCCGCTCTGTGCAGTGACATGTCTGTGCCCAGAGTTGTCCCTGTGCTGCTTAGGGCTTGTGTAGCCCTGAGGTTGGGGTGCGGGGAGGGATTTGGGGTAGTGGCATCATGGGGAAGAGGGAAAAGGCTGTCAGTGGCTGGTGTTGGAGCTGGTGGTCGTTGCCTGCTCCGCGCCCTGCGTGTTGCTCTTTGTAAAGCTGCAAAGCCCTTTCCCAAGGGATTTGGGCGGGCTGAAGGGCCCCTGGCTCCCCTCTGACCCCCTTGTTCCCTCTGCCCAGACCTGGACGCCCGTCCCTGGGACTTCCAGGCGGAGGAGTGTGCCCTGCGTGCCAGCATCGAGCGCTTCAACTCGCGTCGTTACGACCGGGCGCACAGCAACCCCGATTTTCTGCCTGTGGACAACTGCCTGCAGAGCGTGCTGGGCCAGCGTGTGGATCTGCCCGAGGATTTCCAGGTCAACTACGACCTGTGGCTGGAGCGGGAGGTCTTCTCCCGACCCATCTCCTGGGAGGAGCTGCTACAGTGACAGATGACGGGAAGGCAGGATGGGGGTGCTTTGGGGAGATCTCGAGGCTGGCCTGCTGCCAAGGGGCAGGGGGAATGAGGATTTTGGGAGGTCTATGAATGCCTGGAATCCCCTGTGGTGGGCTTAGGAAGAGGTGGGGGCTGCGGTGTCCTCGCCCAGATGCCATCCTGCCGCTGTGCCTCCTTCTAGGCTGTGCCAGGCTCAACCTCGAGCTGAGGGTGAGGGTTTGATGGAGACCACGGTGCCCTTGGGAGTCTCCTGTTGGGTGGGGGGGACCTGTGCACGCCCCTGGTTGATGCTTTCAGAGGCAGCGCTGC